TCCAATTTTTTCATCATAATTTTCTGTAATAACCTTTTTTACAGATGACAAAGATTATGATGATAAAATTACAAGTTTTGGCCTTTTAAGTTTCTGTCTGAATTTCTGGGATGAGTAATTATCATTATTTACATTTGGGTTGTTGTCATCTTCTTCGTTGGTGTGCACTCTGTTCTTCATCAGGTGCTTGTTGTTCTGGTAAACTTGAAGGAATTTAGAACGAACCCTTTATTAAATCTATGGGGGGCAGAGATTCTCATTCTGCTGACCATATCGCCACTTAATTCTTATTTTAGTACTAAATAAGAATAAAACAATATCCCTAGATATGAACAATCTATCCCTTTAAATTAAATAAAGGGTTTATTGTCTGTATGTTACTGATAAAGGGTAGGTATCATCTAATATAGGGTGACTTGTACAACAGCCTAAACATTGTGATAAAAAAGGGGCAATAGTTTGTAAATAAGGATTTGATGTTGGTTTATAATCTTAAGAAATCTTTCAGCTTGTATATTGTGGTCATTAACATGACTGACCCTTGTAAAGATTATTAATGTTGAGGTACCAGATTCTTACTGAGAAGACAAATGCAGTTATGGGTGTGACTCACTCAGTTCTGTTAACCATTGTGGTATACCATGGATGAGATGTTTCATCAAGATGTGACAGTACAGTGAGAAATGAGTATATGCTGTTCTCAAAATTAATAATAAAAAGTGAACAGTGTGTAGAAATCTGAACCATTTGCTATTTTTCATTGTTGATAACAACCTTTGCTCCTTGAAAACCAGCAAGCTTTATAAATATGTTTTTATTTGTTCAACTATGATTTTTAGATTTTTTCTTTGGTGACTATCTATATGAAAATATTCAGTGAGAGGGATTGGTGATTCTTGTTAATGCACTCAATACATTGGGTTAAAATAAATGGACAAATTCTTGTTGGTAATTTCTAACTGGATGACATCCAAACGTCCGACTTGCTCATATTTTCGCCATGTTACTTTTCAGTACAATTAGACAAAAATTTATAAGCAATTTTAAAAAACAAAATTATTCACGTTACTTTTGCTGTTAAAACAAAAATGAGTCTTTTACTCCCTAATGAAGTGCATTTCTATAAAAGTTTATAATAAACACTAAAGATTTTATTTGCAGTTCATTTCACCTGTATTAAACCTCTTATTGTTAACTACTTGTACTACTAATAAGTAGTTTTCCTCATATAGGTAGCAATAAAAAAAAATGTTGAATGTAATATTGTTAGTCTTACTGGCATGTCACTAAATTTTTGGCTAGTTTTATATTTGTTACGAGGCAAATAATTTTTTTTTTTTCTTTAATTTTCGTGTTGCCCTTGACACTATTTACTGATGACCTCTGTGTGGCAATGCTGGCCCAAACCAATGGCATTTTTGTTTACCTGGTTGGTGTGTGTGTGTGTGGGGGGTGGAGAATAGAAAAAGAAAAAACATAAGCTGTCTGCATTGAATCTGATTCTACTTCAGATGAAAGGAGGAAGCGATCAACAAATGCACTTGATCTTCCTCTCTGGCAGGTTGTCATTTTTTTTTTTTTTTTTTTTTTTCCTTCCTCCATGACAGTTGGAAAATGAAGTCACCATGACTGACAAAAGTAGATAAGCTTCCTTAAAAGGCAGTTTCTTACCCAGAATGCTTTGCTGTATTTCCTCTCTGCCTTTTAATGGCTTACATAAATAGACCAGACATTTTTTTCTACTTTTTTCTACTATTAACCCCCACCCCCGGTCAGTAGGGGGTGAGGGTGCTGGTTTGCTTTGGTCATTATCAATACAACCTGGGTTTTCTCTTCATTTCACTAACTCATTGATTTTTTTTTTTTCTTTAGCATTGATTACTGCTGACAAAAGCGGAAAATTTCTACTTTCCATTGTTGTCTTTTGTGTTGACTCCTAAAACCTGAAACTAAGAGTTCGGTGCAGCTGACTTGTACCTATTTCTATTTTGGTATTTGTGCTCAGATTCCCATATGTACCCCAAAAAATAGGCAGCTAAAGTAATTATGGGAAGTGGTTTGCTCAAATAACTGAACTTATGTTTTCTTATTTATCATTAGGCCATGTCAGATAAAAGATTTTAGGCAGTGGGTCAAGTTAAGAAATTTTCTAAGATTCAGGGTAGAGCACAAGGTTTCAAGCATTTTTATTTTCATTCTGATAATCATTGCTATATAAGGTAGGATAAAAAAAAAATTCCCAGATTTGGTCTAAAAAGTAAATTGAGTGGATTGCTCAGCACCTTTTTCCGCTCTGATAGTCAGTTTATTTATTCATTTATTTTTTTATATTATTTATTTTTGTTTTTCCTCACATTTTCTATAATTTTTTGCTGGTGACCAGCATCCAGAATATACATTGTATCTTTTCAATCAACACTTAAGCAGTCTTAAAATGCCACTTTTGTGTTTCACAAATTATGTTCACCAGAAGGCTTGAGAAAATCTCTCAAAGTTTTCTATAGTAGATTTGCTTAGCTTCATAGACTTGAATTTTGGGGGCATTGTAAAGATTACAGAGCCATTCCAGTATGGTTATATAAAATGTTATGTAATTGAACGCAAATAGATCACAGGGAATCAATTGGCACACTGGCTTGGTAACAATGAGCATCAGCTGCTTTTCCACATGTGGGAGATGTGTGTGAACCTAAAGAGTCAGACAAACCTACCTAGGTTTCACCTCTGGCGGATCATCATATATATACGCTTTATATATATATATATATATATATATATATAAAAATAATTAAGAGAATATTTCAGAAGCTTACCCACAAATGTCATTTTTGATTTAGGCTCTTCAGTGTTGTGCCTAAGGCAAAAACATGGTTGTGGGCAAATAGCCAAAATATTTTCTTTTAATAGAATCTTTTGTTTGTTCTGTTGTATGTTGGCTACTTTCATTATCTTTTTATAATCTCTGAAGATTGTATATTTAACTGACACGCACATACATACATACATACATATATTGTAAGAAAGACTTTTTTCTTTTTTTCTCTTTCTCTCTCGGATCTTATTAAAAATGCAACAAGCACGTGTAAATTTCACGGCAAAATTGAGCACATGATATCTCTGGGCACAATTTTAGCTACTTGTATGCTTGTCACATTTTTAATAAAATCTAAAATGTATAACATTACACTATATGTGACTCTATCCTCAGGGTAATGAGCACTGTATTCAACAACATCAATGATAGTATTTAATTGGAATTACATTTTAATTGATTATTCTTTATATTCTCTGTGTCAGAATTGAATGCAGTTTTATCTATTTTCATATTGCTAGTATAAAGTTGTAGTCAAATGTAAGATTTTTAAAGCATTACAATAAAAGATGATAAAAATGTTTACTATAAATGTTTATGGGCATGTGGCCAAATGGTTAGAACATTGGTTTTCTGAGTGTCAAATCTCACCATGGCTGATTTGTCAGGAAGATGACTTTTTGATGTTATCAATCTGAAGGAGGTGATCCCAGCATTGGAAAGTCTAAAAAACCATGTCACGGGTTGACCCAAGCCTTGTGAGTGAAATTGGGTAGACAATGTCTGTGCTAGCACCAAGTCACAAGTCATTGTGACCAAGGGTTTGAGCTTGTTAGCCTTGTTTAGATTGTTGGTCATGCTAGATTACCCGCTTCACTCTCAGAAACTGTAACTAAGGTCTGCTCTGAATAGTTGCCATATGAACCACAGGTAGGCCCTGTGGGTGTTGAACAAATACAAAACGTGCCAGAACAAATGTCTGCAATAGGGATTAACTAACCACTCTAGTAGATGGGTATCTTCAAATACAAATGGCCAACCATTAACATAAACTATAAAAGTTTATAAAACATTGCACTTCTTTCTATTGCTTTTCTTGATATGCACAATATTTTTTAGCCAATCCATTTTCACATTATTTAATCTGTTTACATTGTTCAGACTGTTGTCCTCATCTTTATTGTCATGTTCATGATGATTCGATCGTTGTACACTTCTTCAGGTGATATATGGAGATCACTGCCCTCTATGGGATAAAGCATTGTACATATGATAGGTCACAAAAATCTCCTGAGCCGGCCAAGCATAGACATGAATACAATATGGAAACCAGTAATACAGAGTGCTAGGCAACAATAACAAAAAAAAAAAAAAAAAAATGGATACTGAGAGATTAGGTTTATAAGTTCCAAAGATTAATTCACTGATGTCCCCAAGGACATATGGTCTAGTGAATAAAAAGTATTGGTTGAAGTAATCCAGTGACTTGACCCGAAGAGTTGAGAGTTCAATAGACAGAAGAGGTGAACAAAAACTTGGAGTTGAGTTACTAAATGGAAATAACTAAAACTGATATCCAGAAAGGGCATGGCATGTGGAACTAGAACAATCTAGCCTAGGGAGTTCGGTTTGAAATTACATATCATCTGAAGTAGGCCAGAGCATACAACAACTGAAATGTCATGAACAATTTGAATAATTACAATACCTTGTCTTGGAAATATAGTCAAGAGAAAACAAAGCAAATTTCAAATGTCTCCCTATCAAACATGCAGAAATCCTTGTGTGTCAAATGGTAGATATTTTCTTTTTTTGAAAATCTGTAGTTAGGTACTTTATAATGTAGGGACTTTCTGTAATGTTTATAAATCAAATTTAAACCTAAAAGGGGGGAAAAATATTTTGATTATTTGGGTTCAATTATCATTATTTAGTGTCAATGTTTAGCAATTCAACTGGAATAATTGTGTGTGTGTGTGTGTTTTTTTTTTTTTTTTTCAGTCTTTTATGAGAATTTTATTTTCAGTATCAATGAATTTGTATGATATTTGAGTGAATACAATGGTCATGTTTTTTTTTTTTTTTCTGATCAGGGAATTTATTTCTGCTGTTGTCCAAAGGAAACCTTTTGAATAGATTGTTAAAAGTTGATATTGTTTGAACAAAGCTTGTTCTTTTTCTTTTGCAGTGGTTATGCAGCAGATGAAGTGACACATTGTATTCGCCCGCAAGATGTGGTTGCCAGAAGAGCAGTAATTATTTTAAGGAGGTAAGTCCACACATTGTATTCCTCTCTTCTTTTTACATTACTTTTCAATGCTGCTTATTGATATTTGACCCCCCCCCCTTATATATATATATATATATATATATCTCATTTGAAATTATTATGTAAGATTACAAAGGTCTAAAAAAAAAAAAATGTTCTTGAAATGATACCTGGGTCATGGAATGTTCTGACTAATTTTGAACTATTGGGGTGGGGCTGAATCCCAAAATAACATCTATTTTTCACCATTACCTTTTTTTTTTTTAATCATTTCACCCCAAGCAAGATGGGAATGCTACTGGTATGGGGGGGGGGCAGAGTGAAAGTGAGAAAAGACTGGGTATAGGGGTGGATTGGAGAAAGGATAAAAGATGAATGGGGTTCGAGTAGATGGTGATTGGCGTTAAATTTTTGAAAATTGTATTTATCAGGGAAGCAAGGAAATGGGAATTCCACAGGTGGGAAGTACGAGAAAAACTGTTGGAGTAGAAGTAGTGGTTGCATTTAGCTATTTCAGCAGTAAACAGATGGGATCTAGTAGCATGAGTTGGGCCACCAGGGAGGGGGGGGGAAACTTGTCATAGCAGTTGCCATGAAAATATTTGTAGAGAAGACAGAGAAGCCACATCACATCAGTGAAAAAGCAAATTAAGTTGGGATTGATGACATTGCAGATCCTTCTTTGAATTTTGTCAAGAACCTCAAGATGAATAGCATGAGCGCCAGACTAGATATGGCAACAGTGTTCAAAGCACAGACAAATGGGAGATATGTAAATGTGTAAGACAGACTCTGATGAGAAAAAACTCTCTGGCATGACACAGTGACCCAGGTTTCCTTGCAATAGATGCAGCTATTGATTTGATGTAGTCATTCCTCTTCAAGTCAGTTGAAGACCTGATGCCAAGAAGGTGTAGTATATTGTTCTCCATGAGTCGAGCATCAGCCATGCTGATGGCAGGCAGGAAAGTTTCTCTGTGGTGGTTAAATGAGAGCAGTAGAGTTTTGGAGGCATTAAAATTTACAAGCCATTTCCTGCCCCAGTTAACCACTGATTGAAGGTTCTTTTCAGCTCTGACATATTTGTCATTGAGACAGATGTAAATGGTAGGCATCTCTATAGATGCCTACTTGGGAAATGATGACATCAGGAAAACCATTGATGAAGATCAGAAATGGTGTAGGACCCAAGATAGAGACTTGGAGGGCACCCATGTTTGTGCGAAAAATCTGAAAGTGAGCTCATTCAAAATGACCTTCATTTCATGATTTGATAGGAACGATTGGATTAAATCAAACAATCGTCCAGTAATACTGTAACCCTGGCGGTTACATAGGCAAGCATGCCAAAACCTGTCCAACACCTTTGACATATCTAGAGCCATGGCTCAAGCTTCACTGTTATTATCAAGAGCTTGATATACATATTTAGTGATGGACATTAGCACATCAGCTGTAGACCTGCTGGTCATTAGGCTGGTTACTCTGGTCTAAACTGTTATTCTGACATCATTGTGTTGATTGATTACAGAGCAGGCAAAGATCAGTTTGTTGTCAGCGATTACCGTGTTGGTTCGATCCCGACAAAGCTATGTCACAAAGGAAATTAAAAAAAAAATAGGATATATAGTGTTTCACATAATAAAAACCTGTGCATTATATGTGATGCACAGGGCGTAGCGTAAATAACTTATGATTTGTACATTTATATTATGTGAAACACTATATATCAGTACATTCTATTTGCCAAATAAGCGGAGTTGCCTTGCAATAGTTATAAATCTGAAAACAAGCATGAACGTTTGTATAGTACACATGAAAATGCCCTGGACAGATGAAGGGTTAACTTAGTTAAAGTTGAGATATCCATTAAAAATTCAACAAGAAATTAAAAATGGCACACCTACCTTTTTGAAAGTTCTTTCAGAACAGTCCTGGTTTTGATTTAGTTATTTCAAAGAATGTACATTCAGATAACTTATTTGGGGAATTGTTCTGTGGCCCACAGAACTTTTGACCGTGTGATGTTTAACTAACATTCTAGTATATCAAGGTGGAGAGGAGGTAATAGAAGTCTATCATTAGAATCATGAATGAATGGTGCTTTTGTTCAAAATGGTCATGATTGGATTAGGTAAATGTGAAATAAAGATAAATGCTCATTTGAAGCTTGGACACAATCTTGGTGTGAAATAAAACACAACTCCTGAAAGACAAAAGAAATAAAAAAACATGATTAAAATTTCAAATATTGGGAACAATTGGTTGTCATGGCAAGAATTTTTGCTAATTTGATTTTTGTGAATGCTTAGATTTGTCCAGTCTTCAGTTCCAGCAGAAGTTGTCCATCTTTTTTTTTTTTTTTTTTTTTTTTTTTTTTTTGTCCCATCTTCCTTAATAAAATTCTTTTGTAACTTTAATGTCTTGATGGAATCTTTCCTTTTGCTCATCACTAAAAAAGTTCAGTCTCTATCCCAAATGTTTGATGCAGATTATGTGAAGTGTGGTTAGAGCCAAGGACTTTTTCATCTTCCCGCCCACAATTCATAACTTAGAACAATACATGCAGACGGTTATCATCATCATCAGATAAAAACCAGGTGTTTCAACAAATCAAGAATTCAAAAACATACATGTTGTTTTTTTCCCCACTTTTGGTTGGGTTTCCTGCTTTTTGTCAAATGAGTGGCCAATGCTTAAATGTAAATAAATGGCAGAACTGCCCAATAAACAGAAACAGAATTAACAAAGTTTGTAATAATAAACAATAACAAAAGAACAGGATAAACAATATAGACAAAACAACAGTAATATGGCAAAAAGTTCACAAATTAAGAATTGGGTGCTTTGGCCTTCTTCAGGTGATTGGGATTTTGAAATGAACCCTTTTTGTACACTGGGGAAGATTGTTCTATGTTCAATGTGCCATGACTCTTCCGGGTGTCTCAGTTATCTCCCTTTCACTCATCTCTCCTAGTTCTTGTTACCACTACAATAGACAGGTATTGAACTCTCAAATCAAGTCACAGGATCAAACCAACGCTTTTATCCGCTAGGCCATGTGTCCTTGGGGAATCACCTGAAGAAGGCCAGGGCATACGACAGCTGAAATGTCATGAATATGGCAGCAGAGAGGAGGACAACAATGTAAATAGTGTAAATAATTACAATACTGTAGAGAACTTAAGTATTCTAAACCTGGCTAATCAGATTTATGACCCAGTCATTCATTACAATTTACTCATTCACAAGAAGAACTCATCTGTCATCATTCAATATACCACATACTCACAGGGATCCTACAAAAACATCTATTGTATGTAAAATTTTATCATATGGACAGTGTGGGAACAACTGCAAAACATTTTCTCCCTCCGCAATTTATAGGCAGCAGCATGCCAATCCATGCTGGGATTTCTTCCTAGCCAATAAGATTGGCTGGTTTCGTCTTGCTCAGTTACAATCTGTCTTGTCCTGAAGTCAGAGCAGTATGTTTGCTCATCCAAATTTGCTCTATTTCCGTGATGAGGTAAAATGTGAAGTGAACCAATAAAAGATAAACTTGATTTTTGAACTTGGTTCCAAAGTTAGCTTAGAAAAAGTATAAGTTACTTTGCACCAATAATATATGTAGGTTAGTGTAATATTTTGGTAAATAAACTTAAATTTATTAACTTAAGAAGAATGATGCTAATGTGTATCGTCAAGACTGTCAGTTCATTTTCACTATCGGGTGCCATGTAACATGTTTTCGTGTGTCACAAGAAACTAAATTAAGGCAATCGTCTTTCCTTAAGCTATTTAAATCTTTCTGCATTTTGTGTGCCACATTACACGTCCTCCTTACCCAAGATGTATGTAATATCTTTTACATTTCTCAAAAAGTAATACCAAATCAGGTATTTAAAAAAAAAAAAACTTGTAAGATTTAAAATGCTTCATCTGTAGCCTTTTTTTTTTTTTTTTTTTTTTTTTCATGCACATTTTTGTATTCATTGGTGGGTGCTCTATGAATGTAAATGTCCAAGGGGATTTTTTAAAAAATATCTCCACAATGAATGCAGTTGATATTGCTAAAGAAATATTCATTCCTAAATGAGTTAAAAATGGATTCTCCTTTGCATGCGTATTTTATTCAGTGGGCAAGTAATTTTTCCACTTTCCTTGATGTGCAAATGTCAAAAAAATTTTTTTTTTTTATTTTTCTTTGAGACTTGATTTTGTTTTGATATTTAAAATTTCCTTTTTCAGAGTGTTTCCATCTGCCCCAAGATTACGTCTGGATGCCTTTCACAGTACGGCTCACAAACGCAGCAAATTCAATGGATTGCCAGCCATCTGTGATATGACGAATGCCTTGGAAGACAATAGGGGAGAGGGACACAAAACGTCCGACTCTGGCAACCGAGGAGTTACAACCAAGAGTTCTGTACACAAAGTGTCTAGCAAAACTTTTGCTCCCCACATGTCTCCTTTGACCTCTGATGAAGAGGATGACTTCGCTTGTAGCGGTAAGTCCAGGTCAGAGATAGTGAAGGTCTTGTCAAAAGTGATTTGCCCACGTAAAACCTCTTTGTTGTCCACCAAAGATTATCCCGATGACCGGGGTTCACAGTATCGGCATGGCAACCACCATGGCAACAACCACACTCACTCTAGTGATGAAGACACTTACAGTTGGGCAAAGAAGCCAAAAAGACACAAAGGCTCATCCCAACAAGTAGCCAAGCACAGAGACACGTGTCGTTCATAGTGCACCTCAAATGATAGACACACTTTATTTACAGAATTGCGATAAGAATAACCTTTATGACGACAAAATGTTGCTTTGAAAAAAAATCGGGCAACTTAAAGAAATCTTGCTTTGTGTTTCACATCTCAACTTCTTGCAGATACCAATATATATATATATATATATATATATATATATATATGAGAGAGAGATGCCTATCGGATGGATGTATTTAGGGTGGCCTTGATGTTTGAGAAAAGAATTCACTTTTTGCAACCGATAACTTTTCAGGAAAAAAAAAACTTATTTGTATAGAATTTTGTACTAAAAGAGATTGGATTTCCCCAAAAATGAACCTGAACAATGACAGTGGGCAATAGATGTGATATCTAGACGGGGGTGTGTGTTCCTCTTGACACATCATGTCATCCCCCAACCTCCACCCGTCCCAGCTCTGCCCCCCCCTTCCTTTTCAGTCTTGTGCATCTCAGAATTGCCTCACTCTCACCCCCACAGCATTTCACTGTTATCTCGTTTTTTTGTTTTTTTATTTATTTATTTTTTGTTTGTTTACAGTTGAGATTATCTAATTTTTACTTTTTGTTAATATTTTTTCTATCCCTGCTTACACACACACACACACACATATTAAATGTGCCTGTGCACACCCAACATTTATAAATTAAATCCAAATGCTTACAGTTCATTTCTCTCTCTTGTAATGGTTGTTTGTCCTGAGACTTGGGGCATTCGTCTTTTCTTCGAATAAACAATGTCTCTTAGCATTGAAATAAAATTTCTCCACATCTAAGATGTGCCTTATGTAACAAGGACGGCACCCATCTCCTCACTGCAGACATTTTATTGCACCATTCTTTGATAGAGCTGAGTTTTGCCTTTGTTTATACTCCAGTTGATGCCACCACTGAAACTTTGTGGTTAAACCTCACCTACCAAACTTTGGAGGGAGCTGACTTAAATGCTCAATCTTTGCGGATTAGGGAATCCTCTTCATTGACTTCACATCCTCGAAAAATACCTTTTTGTGGAGTGTTAAAATTTTAAATAGAAATAAATTTCCTGAATGATTTGTGGATATATTTTACCAATCTGATTTAATAAAAATGTCTTTCTAAGAAATAAAATAGCGTAACAATCAAAGCTTGATTTTTCTCTTAGAAAAATTCTTGACATTTAAGAAATGTGATAAAATAAAACAAATACAAGCATGCACTTAAAGCAGTAAAAAAAAATAAAATCCTGTTTGGAAATAATTTTTATTTTGGTGGGTGTAAGGGGCTTCAATTTTTCTTGGAAGGCAATTCTTAAAAAAAAAAAAAAAAAATTCATTTGGCACTGAAGGAGAATAGGATTTATTTTTCTTTGCATGAAATTCAAACCTTTGTTTTTTCTCTCTCTCTTTAAATTTTTATTTTTATCTATTTTTAATTTTTTCTTTATTTTGCCTTCACCCCTTGACCCTTTACTCAGTTTATCAAAAAGAAAACTTTGATGGATTTCTCTTTAAAATTGTACCCGGTAAGAAAAATGTCAAAAATATTCTTTTTTTTTTTTTTTTTTTTTTTTACAAAAATCCTTTTAATAAAGAAATCTTTCATTATAAGCTGTAAAATTTTTTTTTTTTTCCCCTCAAATTTCTTTTGCAAAATAATTTTTTTTTTTTTTTTCTTTTTTAAATTCCTGATGGATAGGGAAAACTTTCTACAAGGTTTTTTTTTTTTTGTGTGTGGGTGTGCACATGAATTATCAATGCTGTTGAATTAGGATGATTCTTGATTCACTCCACTTTCCCCTCCCCTTTTTATTTCCATTTCATTTTAATATTAATAATAAATAGAAATTTATACAGGAGTCAAGATTTATTTTTTGTACACAAGGAATTACTGAATTTTCATCTATACATTTTTGCTTTTCTTGCCCCCTCCTCCCAAAAAAGCCTTTAACAGTTCTCTTTTTCCAGACTTTTTATCTTTCTCTCTTCATCATCAAATTGCTACAGGAAAAATCTGATTCTATTTTTGACCAAATAACCACAACACTTTCTTTAAAGATTTCAAAAAGTCACATAAAAAGTGTCTAGGAATTTAAATTCTTGACTGAGATAGAGCTTTCTCTACCTCCTGCTCCTGGGACAGGCCGCATATATCTTCCCCTCCTGAATTAGAAGCATTCTTTTTTTTTTTTTTTTTCCTCCTGATGTTGAATCATTAGTCAGATGAGCTGCATTGCCTCTTTTGTTCTACTTTCTTTGGAGATTGGATTGGTTTTTGTCCAGGGGATGGATCAGGAGTTTGGCCGCAGTAGATTTTGTCTGGGAATGGGTGTCCCTTTTGAGGATGGTCATTTTGCAAGGGGTTGGCATAAGTAATTTTATCATTGTTGGTGGTGCCATAGATTGTCTGAGTAGTTAGTACCTGATCTTTCTCCCTATATGATCTAAATTAAGGTCGAGGATGGCATTCCAATCCCCTGCTAAGACTACTTGATAAGGTCAAAAAAGGCTCAAGCTGTCAAAACGAATCAGGCCTTCTGCATGGTCATTAGGAGCATAAACAGAAACACAAAGTCTGCCATTTCAGATTGCAAATACAAGCACATGCTCTGCATTCAAAGACTTGCTCATCAGCCAGGGAACACTTCTTGAGTATCCATCAGAACATGCTAAATAGAAGACAAACTGCTCAGGCAGAATAAATATATATGTGGTCATGTGCCAGGTCTCCTGTACACAAGTCATCAACTCATGAAGATAATGAATGACTCTTGGTCTCTGTAAATCCAGCCTCAGGCCTTGGGCATTTACACTAGCTAACCAGAGCCATTATCAATCCAATTAGGGTTGATCTGTATTGAGCATGACTGAAGTAAGGACACTGACAGCCTGTCCCATTAATTCTTGGCTCATTTCACTCTTGATAGTGCCATCAAGAGACAGCCCACCAATTGTCCCAGGGGAACATAAGTTTTAAGACTTTATATGAGGAGGCGTGAACAAAAAATGGAAGCCTCTCTAAACAAAATTGTTTTTAACCATTTTACATTCTCATCCTCAAAGAATGCTAGCTGTGGGGAAACCTACCGTCCTTCTCCTCCTGTGTCACCCACCCAAGCCTAATCTCATCACCATCAAATATCTTCCTCGGAATTATAAAGTGTTTTAGATTTTTTTCTGACATGGGCTATGTTACCTCTTGTTCTGTTTTTTTTAGGTTTGTGAATTCCTGTTTATACAGGAGATGCGGAAGTGAACTTCATTTTTTTTAAGTGAGTGACTTTGTTACTGGTGGTGGTGCTATATATATATATATATATATATATATATATTTTAACTGTTGGGGAAGATGTAGCTTAGGAATGGTGGGTGGAACTTATGAAACTTGTTTGCTGATCCTTATAACCTTCAGAGATACTTCTAGTTCTTTCGGGGGGTAATTTTGTATAAACTTTGGTCATATTTCTTTTTCTCTTGCCCAATTTTAGCACTGGTAGATAGTGAGGCTGTTCCTGCCTTTAGCCCTTGGGGATTGAGGGTACTGAGGTACTGCTGTCTCTTGCTTCCCTCTGACTCTACCAGTGACCAGCCATTCCCCATCTCTTTTTTTCTACAACTGCACTAGCAAGAAGCAAAGAGGTTTGACTACACTGGTCCCATTACAGGCACTGTGGAACTATCAGTATCGGTCAGAGGGATTTTGGTCATCTGCAGCTGAAACAACAGAAATTTTGTTCTCTGGGCAGGGACAAGAGAGATAACCAGTCCTTACCATTGAGAAAAGTTCATCAGAACATTCACCATGAAAGTATTTATTAAAAATATATAATATATATATATATATATATATATATATATATATATATATATATATATATATATATATGGTACTTACCTTAAGGCAGTGGGAAAGTGATTGAAGGTGAGATGCCAGGTCAGGACCAATAACATTGCAGATTCTTCTTTGGATTTTATCAGAAATCTTTAAGTATAGAGCAGGAGCACCAGACCAGATGTGGCAGCAATATTCAAAGCAAGGACGAATGGTAGATTTATAAATATGTAAAATAGATTCTATTGAGAAAATTGTCTAGCATAACCCACGGAACCAACATTCATGGCTCTCACGTGATTAAGTTTTGTTTTGGAGGTGTTAAAGTTAATATGCCAGCCCTTACCCCAGTTAACAACAGCCTGTAGGTCCTTTTATTTTTATTTTTATTTTTTTTTATCAGCTACCTATTTGACCACATCAAACTGATCAGACTTACTATCACGACAAGCGTAAAAGGTTGAGTCATCAGCATAGATACCAAGTTGAGAGCTGATGTCATCAGGGAGGTCATTGATAAAAACTAAAAACAACATAGGTCCAAGGACAGAGCTCTAGAGGGCACCTGCAGTAGTACAAAAAGATCTAAAAGAATGGCTGTTCAGGGGCAACCATCTTTTTACAATTTGATAAAGACTGAATCAGTTCAAAAACTTACCATAATGTTTTTACCTTGTGTAGAAGAATGGTATGCCTAATCATGTCAAATGCTTTCAAGATTTTCAAAGCAACAGTCTGAGCTTCACCATTCTTCTTTAAAGCTTGCTGACTCTTTGAGCAACGATCAATAATGCATCAGCAGTTGCTCTAGAAAAGCAAAAGACATATTGCTTATCTGAAAGAAGGCCCTGCAATGTGAGATGCTTAACCAATTCAGATTAGATTAGGGCCTCTCGTAGTTTGCCAAAAAGAGGTAAAAGGTTAATCGGCCGATAGTTCAAAGTGTCAGATAGTTCACCTGAGTTCTTTTCAAGACTGAAAGAACAGAAGTGGATTTCTTCCAAACGGGAAGGCAAGAGACAGCTAGTCATTTCTTTCTCTTTTTATTGATCTTCTTAAATTCTTGTATATTCTACAACTATTAAATATGTGGCATGGATAGGGAAAATAATAAAGAAATTTCCAATGGCATTTGTTTGCATCACAAAATATAGGACTTAAGTTTTAGGATGCAAA